GTTTTGGGAGGACGATCGCTGAGGGCCAGAGCAGTCCGGGAGGGAATCGTGGAAGAGATGGCACTGGGAATGGACCTTGCAGGGTGAGCATGCTGTCTCCAGGCAGAACTGGGGGGAGCTATACTGTCTGTTTCCAGATGGAGAGGGACAGGTGGTCAGGCGAGGTAAGGCTACAAGGTAGGCTGGAGCCCGTGGTGGGAAGTAGGGGGCCTGGGACGAAGGTTTGTTAAGCAAGGTGGCTTCATTCACAGTTAGCACGAGGTCACTGCGGGGTCCTGGGTAGAGATGTAATGATCGGAGTGTGTGTGTGTGTGTGTGTGTGTGTGTGTGTGTGTGTGTGTGTGTGTGATTTGGTGGGTGAACGTAGAGATAGACCAGTTAGGAAGCTGTTGCACTTGAGCAGCTGAGAGCTGATTTCTGAAGAAGGCAGACGCAGGGGGGTGGAGGGAGAGGAGGGCTGAGCAGGGAGGACATTTTTCTCCCCAGTACTTCTGGTTCTACATGTCCCCTTAATACTTCCTCAAGGGAGGACGGGGGACTGTCCGGGTACTCAGAGTCCCGGTTCACCGGGCCAGCCTTGCTGATGCGTGGGTTACTCTCCCTTAAGGCAAGAACCCAGGTTCCGGATTCCCTAGCTTTCTTGCTGCAGACCTAACCAGGCCTGGCACTTGTTGGGCAGATGGCTCCCCTGAGCTGCATGTACCCTCCTCCTTCAAAAAGCAAAACCCAGAACAGCCGTGTTTTATCAGAAAGCCCTGCTTCAGGTAGGCCATTTTCACAGACTTGTACTTTGATTCCCAGTCTGTGGTTGGTTCAGCTCCTGTGAGAACTCCAGGGGGTTGGGGGTAGGGGTAGTTGGCAGGGCGGGATTTGGGCACTCGTGTCCACGGAAAATCACCACATACTCACCCTTCCTCTCTCGTGTGCTCTGCACGGAGGCTGGGCTCTCCCTTCAGGCCTGAGTCACCTGTCAAGGCGTGTGTGAGAGCCAGGGGGAGGAGCGGGATCTGGGGCCCGGTGGGTGGTGATGCTGTGGCCACAGGAGGAAACCTGGGAGTAGAGGTCCGCCTGGAGGATATGTGTGCAGAGGGCGGGAGATGACGTAGTGTCGTTTCCTGTGCACCTGCTGTGCCGGGTGCCCATCGCACATTCTCTCGTTTAACCCTCCGGGGACCCTAGGAGCCTGTACCGTTATCCCCATTTACTGGAAAGGAAACACTCAAAGATTTTTGTTATCTATCTGTGGTCACACGGCTAGTTAGCGGTAGAGCCCGGATTCGAGTCTACTTCTGCCTATCTTCACAGCCTGGGGATATTGAAAGAGGTTTGGGGAAACCACCCAAGATTATCAATTTTCGGTTCTGATTGTTTTGCTCAGGCGAGACATGCCGTCTCCATGCCTCCCCTAAACATTTATTATAACTCCACTGGTGCCGAGCACAGGAGCCTGTCGGCGCCTCTGTGTTGCCATGGCAGCTGCTCCTCCTCAAGGCCACCTCAGCACACACGTGCCCCCCTCCCTGCAGTGGGCCTTTTACTTCAAGCCTTCTCTGACTGCTCTTCGCGTGAGGTCCAGGGTCCTTGGTCCTGCCCTATTCATTAGCAGGAGGGCGTAGCTTTCAGGCTGGATGTTTTGTCAATCTCGAGTCCTTGAGAAACTGTGACATTAGCTTGGGGCGTTGGAATTATTGACCAGTGGCAGCCGGTGTCCCAGAGTGGTTTTCTATTTCTTTGGTCTTAACAGAGGTGCGGTTGGGTGAGAGAGACCACAGAATTTGGGGTCTGACCGACCTGGGTTTGAATTTCAGCACTAGAACTTACTCGTTGTAAAGCTCTGTAAACAACTTTCAGCCTCCGTGAGCCTTGATTTCCTTTCTATAAACACAGGACTCAATACTTACCATGTATGCAGTCATCAGGGCTCAGGATGTTTTATGTCCAAGGGCCTTGGCACATGCTTGGCTCAAGGCGGGTGCGGGGTAAATAGTAGTTTCTATTACAAATGGTTATAATAAGAGAAATGCTTTATCCTGTTTGGTGTCCTGACTTTCCCTGAGACTCTGATTTACGCTGAAGGCCTTCTACCACCAAAAATACACACACACGCACGCGCGCGTGCACACACACACACACACACATTTGCATAGGCTTCCGGGGACCCATTCAGTGGACCTCAGATTAAGCACCTGTAATCTTGAGGAATGACCCAGTTACATGTCCTTTGTGGGATTTTGGAACAGGTCATTTTCATGTGGTCAACTCTGTTAGTTTGGGGAACATGTGGAAGAAATGTGGCATATTGGTCACCTTTCTCACTTAAAACATGCAAGTTCTTAATCTAGGTACCCGCATTAAAATTGTATAAGCAAATGAAATGGGAGAGCGGAGTAAATTGCTGTACATGCACATAGAGACTAGAACTTGAACCAGACATTAAAATAATGCGTCTGATGGGTGTTTATGTGACGGAGAGAATGGAATCAAGGAAATGATGTAAGTGGACCAGTAATTACTATGCATGCAAACGGTGTACACTTTTGACTTAGCATATGATGCAGAAGTATTTTAAGATTAAAAAGGAGGCATGATCTTTTCAGGATGACCTTTCCAAGATGGCGGGCAAACTTATTGTGAATTTAAAGATGTACCTTTTGGCTTAACACAAGATTTTATGGTCCCTATGATCCGGTGATCCAGTTTTTAGGAGGAGGTTTCTTTTTTTTTTTTTTTTTTTTTTTTTTTGAGCGTTTATTGATTTTTGAGACAGAGAGACAGAGCATGAACGGGGGAGGGTCAGAGAGAGAGGGAGACACAGAATCTGAAACAGGCTGCAGGCTCTGAGCCGTCAGCACAGAGCCTGATGTGGGGCTCGAACCCACGAACTGCGAGATCATGACCTGAGCCGAAGTCGGACGCTTAACCGACTGAGCCACCCAGGCGCCCCTAGGAGGAGGTTTCTACGAGCAAGTGTCAGATGACTGTAGGTGGATGGGGATCATTTCAAAAGAAATCCAGACCCTGGTCATAGTGTGGAAGTGAGCTTGAGAGGCTGGGTCATCAGGCGGGTGCTGTCCCTTAGTGACCATGATTGTGGGTAAATAACTTTACCTGAGCCTGTTTCCCCATTCATAAAATGGGGAGCAATCCCATCTACCTGATCCGTCCGTCCGTCGATCCATCCATCCGTCCGTCCTCCCAGCAGATATTTATTGAGTGCTATTCTGGTTGTTTACTGCATTTGCCATTCCTAGGTGTTGCTGCTGATGTTGTTCTAGGGGCTGTGTTCTGAGCACCCTGGTTCTTTTTGGTGGGAAATGGTATTTAAAGACTACAGTCTGGATGCCGGGGAGGATGCTGATTTTAGGCTTTTGCAGTGAAAGGAAGGAAATCGCAGAAAGTAGAAGTTCATCTTGATAGTTGGAATTCATATTTATAAAGACATGTTTGTACTTATTTTTGTATTTGTATTGGTTTTCACTTAGGCTTGTAGTCTTGGTTCTCATCACATTAATAATTACTTATTTAATAAGTGTATATATACATGCACAGTTTCAGAATAACAATACAAATATTGCTTCCAGCACGATTACTCAAACAGTGTAAGATTTTCTGCAGTGGTTCCTTGTGTCCTTGGAGAAGCCCACTTTAGGGGCATATAAATTACTCTGCTTTTAAGTTGCTGAAATAACTCCTCCCTGTTTGGCTAACCAATCAACTTGATATACAGTTCGATTTATTTGTTTGTTTGTTTGCTGTGCTTCTGGTTTCAGGAGATTTTTATGTTGTTTTTCAAATAGTTACCTAAACATTTAAACGGCTTCGAGTGTCACATCTGTAAAATGAGTTCTTCTCCCTCCTTCTACCATGTTCTCTTTTATTTCCCTAAAGGCAACCATCTAATTTATTTTATAGTTAAATACATGACAGTATGCTATACATTCTTTTTTTTTTTTTTTTTCCTCCAGGGGTCCTCCTGAACCCCACCTGAGCAGTACATTCTGATGATTACTGTAGGGCAGCGTATTGATAGAGTCCTCATTCTTTTTTCTTTATCGGTTCTGAGTGCTCCATTGTGAGAATGTCCCATAGTTTATTCCTTTACTGGTGGATATTTGGGTGTTTCCAGCTTTTCGCTATTATGAATAGTACTTCAGTATTACAAATAGTGTATATCCTGAGGTAGTTATAATCACGCTGTTTAATGTTGGTTTTGTGGTTTTCTCCCTGACATTATAACACGAACATTTTCCATGTTACTTGTGAATGTCATTATTGAAGATAATTTTTTTTTTCCTGATCAGGAAAGTAATATAGACTTATTTAGAGATTTTAGAAACTCAGAAAAATAAGAATCAGTTGAAAGTCACCCACATTCCCACTGTTTAGGTATACTATTTTGACATGTTTCCTCATGGGCTTAACAATATTTTGTGTAAGCATTTAGAAAACAATCCGCATCATATTATATAGTATCCTGGTTTGGTGTTCCTCAGAATTGTGTGCTTTTTTTTTTTTTATACCATACTCTTTATAATTAATTCCCTATTGTTGGATATTTAATTTCTTTCTGGTTTTCGGTATTATAAATAACGTTGTGATGAATGTGCATAAAGCTTTTTCCAAATTTCAGCTTATTCCTTTTTTTTTTTTTTTTTTTTAAGTTTATTACTTTTGAGAGAGAGAGAGAGAGAGCGCAAGTCGGGGAGAGGCGCAGAGAGAGAGGGAGAGTGAGAGAATCCCAAGCAGGCCTGGTACGGGGCTTGAACCCACGAACTGTGCGATCATGACCTGAGCCGAAGTCGGACGCTTAACCGACTGAGCCCCCCCAGGCGCCCCCTCAGCTTATTTTTGAAGCTGGTTTTCACGAGACCTTCTGTGAGAAGGAAGCGCATGTTTGTTAAACACATCTGTTCGCTTGCTCTTCTATAGCGGAAACAGGGGAGGGAGTGTCCCCTTGAAATCTGTGAAATAAATTCTGTTTTTTCTTTTCCTTTTGGTAGGACCTTAGGAATGAAGTTGAGAAATTACGCGATGAAGTGAATGAGAGAGAGAAGGCCGTGGAGAATCGTTACAAGAGTCTTTTGAGTGAAAGCAATAAAAAATTGCACAGTCAAGAGCAGATGATCAGAAGTCTAACAGGAAGTATGAATCCAAAGGACTTGTTGCTTCGGGTACCAAAGCTTCTTTTTCTTTTGTGTTTAAATCTGTTGACTTGCCATAGGTCGTTTTGTTGAAAAACTCTTTTGCAGAAATGGGTATATAAAAATAAGGCTGGCAAAAATGATTATAGCCTTCGCTGCTGTGTGTCAGAGCACATCAGAGCTTTCTTTATGTCCTTTGGACGCCAGCCACCAACAAGAAGGGAAGGGACTGATTCTGTGTCGTACTACTGGTCAGCGGCAGAGCGCGATTGAGGCCCTGGGCTGTTTCGCTCCAGAGGCCGGCCCGCTTCACCGAGGTCCTTCCGCCGTGAGTGCCTGCTGCTCCTGACGTGCACCGTGGCCTCTGACTCTGTGCTTTTCCTCTAACTGTCCCTTTTTGTCGTGGAGTACCCCTCTTGCTTGATCGTATAGTGAAGTTTTGATTTAGTGCAGGCGTACAGGTAAGCCAAGCTGGACTCACCATGGGCATTTAACTCTGCCTCCAACTGGAGCCTTGTTAAGATGACAGTGAAGGGATGAAAGGTACAAGCCCACAGGACTGAGAGCTTTTGGGTGATTTTATTACTTTCACTCAAAAGTGAAGTAAGTGCCAATAAGAAGCAAGCTGGTTTAGGGGCACCTGGGTGGCTCAGTCGGTTGAGCGGCCGACTTTGGCTCAGGTCATGATCTCACACTCCGTGAGTTCGAGCCCCGCATCGGGCTCTGTGCTGACAGCTCAGAGCCTGGAGCCTGCTTCAGAGTCTGTGTCTCCCTCTCTCTCTGACCCTCCCTCGTTCATGCTCTGTCTCTCTCTCTGTCTCAAGAATGAATAAACATTAAAAAAAAAAAAAAATTAAAAAAAAAAAAAAAAGAAATAAAGAAAAAAATAAATAAATAAATAAAAGTATAAAGAAGCAAGCTGGTTTACCCTCCAGGACCCAGAGAGGCGCAGCAGGCAGATGAGGGTCCTGGTCCCTTTGTACCCAGGAGATTTGGCTGGAGTGCTGGGCAGTTCGGTGACCGCGTCCTCTTCACCGTCTCTCTGCTGAACCTAAACCAGAGAAGCTCTGGCCTGGGGGTCACCAGATACGGCTGAAGGCAGGAGTGGGTCTCTTGGATGCAAACGAGGAGGGAGTGGAAGAGTCCTTGAGGGGAGAAAAGACAGTCGGGCGTCTTCCAGCAGGACAAGCAAGTCCCCACTTGGTCCTCTCACAACGAGCCTGCACGGCCCTGCCCTTTCCACACTCAGAGCCTCTGAGCACTTTTACCTTTAAAGGTAGCTGGACGGCCTGAGTTCCCCAAACAGGAGAAAAGTGTCTAAGAGGAAAGACAGACAGACAGACAGCACAAAGCTATGTGGAGGCAGTAGAAACCGGAGGATGTGAAGCAGACCAGACAGCTCTCCAAAGGCTCTATACTATAACTTCTTTAGATAGGAGCCAAGATCAGGATCTGAAAAGTAAAAGATACTTGGAAAAGAGGAATGAGCTGTTGGAAGTTGCAAGTGTGATTACAGATATAAAAAGTTTCATAGGAGAGTTAGAAACACTGGAAGATAAAGTTGAGCGAGTTTTCCAGAAAATGGAATCCAACAAAGAAACAAACAGGGGTGAGAAAATGAGAGGGAAGCAATAAGAGCTGTAGAAGCCTGACTCAGGAGCTCCAATCTCTGGCCAACAGGAGGTCCCGAAAGATGGGACAAGGCAGAGCAGAGGAGGGAAAACCTGAGTATTAGGAGAGCTTCTGGAGCGGAAGGACAGACACCTGTGCCTCAACAGGGTCGGCCGCGTTTCTCACACAATGAGTCGTGAGTGACCCACGCTGCCAAGGCACGTCCTTGTGAAACAGTAGCACGTGGGGATGAAGAGAGGCTCTGAGAGGCTTCTAGAGCGAGATGCAAAGGACCCAGACTCGGAATAACATCAGAGGTCTCGGCAGCAACACCGGAGGCCAGAAGGCAGGAGAAGAGCACTTTGAGATTGTGGGGGCAGAGTGACGTCCAGCCCAGCATTCTGTACTCCGCTGAGCTGGCAGCGAGAGCGGGGCAGACAAAGGCGTTTGCTGGCATTCGGTGCCTAAAATCCTATGCCTCCAGGGTACCCCCTTGCAGGGAACTCCTGAACAGTGATCCTGGCCATACAAATGAGAAGCTAACTGAACAGGACAGAGACGTGGGATCCAGCAAGTAGGGGAGTTTCCTAGGTTGTGGTGACCAGAAGTGCCCGGGTGCAGAGAGCTTGTATTTGAGTGCTTTCGAGAGAGGGCCTCCACGTTGGGCTTTCTCCAAGAAACAGAAACGGAGCCCTTCCCTTACCTGGTGTGTCTGGCTCCATCTAGAGACATTTGAAAGTTATTTAAGAGAGTTTAGAGATAAATTTACAGGGGCGCCTGGGTGGCTCAGTCGGTTAAGCGTCCGACTTCGGCTCAGGTCATGATCTCACGGTCCGTGAGTTCGAGCCCCGCGTCGGGCTCTGTGCTGACGGCTCAGGGCCTGGAGCCTGTTTCCGATTCTGTGTCTCCCTCTCTCTCTGGCCCTCCCCCATTCATGCTCTGTCTCTCTCTGTCTCAAAAATAAAATAAACGTTAAAAATTAAAAAAAAAAAAGAGATGAATTTACATTAAGTACCTAATTTAGTTTCATGAACTAAGTGGACAAATAGAGCAAAGCACTTGTTACTGATTCCAAGGAAAGCAGAGAAACAAGCACAAAAGGAGATGTGCTCACGGGAGGGCCACGTGGGTGAGTCGTGGACAGTATTTGTGTGGTCATGATGCTGTGAATGCGGACTGTCATTTGAATTGAAATTGTAACTATCAGGAAAAGTGCTGAGGTGGGGAGGCAGATGATGTAAGAGCCAAACCCCTGAACTTGCGCCGTAGGAGCCGAGACCCATGTTACTTTCACAAGTCAGGCCGTGGGAGAGAGTAGGAATGTAATATAAATAGCGGAAGAAGCCGAGGGGCTGGAAGCTGTGTTTTCCTGGGAGTGGGGCCCGGAGGTGAGGAGGAAGAGGTGGGGGCTGACGTTCTCCCTGTAAGCCGTGCTGTGCTGTTTGATTGTTACACAGCGTATATGTATAATTGGACTTTTAAAAAAGGAAAATGAAAAACGTTACGTCAAGCGCAGCTGTATTATAGCAAGTCTAGAAATTCAGTATTGGTTATTTGGTTTCTAATTTTTCCTGGGACAGTTAAAGAGGTTTTTATAAGAAAAAGTGTCTCTGTTTTTTTCATGTTTGTGCTGATCTCCTTTCTCATAAAAGCTTGACACGATGAAGTAAGTCTGATAGGTTCTTAGGAATGAGAGGTGGTTCTCGTCCTTAATTTCTGACCCGGAGTGGACAGACCCCTAGCTAAGGAGTTTCTAGGTTTTAAACACTTAGAGATAGAGTCCATGCTTGAACTTGGCCACGAGATCAGAGAAACGGTGTCTAGTCCTGTTGTGTTGTTGAATGCCAGATCTTCTGAAGGGGTCGATGAGGGGGACTGTATTGTGCGTCACCACGAGGACCCTTTCATCTGTGACCACACCTCAGAACACTGTTTGCAGTTTTTCTTCCCGAAGTCCAGTTTCCTCGCGGATATCGATGGTTCAAGTTTTGTCAAATTTGTGATGTTTCGAGAGAGACGGGATTTTGTTGGTTGCGATAAACACTTCCTCTATCATCGCAGTAACCCCGCAGGATAGGAGGCAGACCCGGAGGTCACGCCCTGGCCAAGGGGGACCCAGGATGGGAACCCCATCCCATGGGGCCAGGCCTGGGCTTGGTGCTCCACACCCGTTGGGCAGCCATCTCGGTGGTGGGGAGAAGGGCTTTGTAACGACTGCCACCACCTTGCCTGTGCCGTGCCCGCGGGCTGTTTTTCTCCTGGGGGTGCTGGCTGCGTTACAGTTTTGTGATTGCCTAGTATTTGGGGATGATGGAAATTTTTTCGAGGAAAATAATGTGAAGAAAAAATAAAATATCTTCCCTTCAAGAGTTCTGGACAATCTGTTACGAAGATTTTTTTTTTCTTGATGAAAACTTCCTCACGATTTGTTTCCATAGAAATTCAGTGAAAAAGATTCGGAAGCAGTCCAGCAGAACCGTCATTCACAGACCGGGGAGGATCTCACGGTCAGGAGTGAAGACTCCCCGGAAAAGTGCTCTTTGTGGCGGTCACCATGCAAACGGCTCTTCTCCGAGGTAAGCTTGACCAGAGTCGGACGTCACACGTGAATTCACGTTCTCTCCCGACACGTATGTGATACCTGCTCTCATCTAGAGCCCCTCCAGCGCCTTCTTGCCAGTAATTGAGCTTCTAACAGATACGGGGAGGGTTCTTAGTCTGTCTGCCTTACAGATTAGTATCCATTAGCTGAGCACTGGCATTTGCAACACTCAGGAAACTGGTAAATCACAGCTCGTTGAAGATGAGCCCAGGGGTTGCCTGGGTGGCTCAGTCCGTTAAGCATCTGGCTCTTGATTTTAGCTCAGGTCATGATTTCACAGTCTGTGGGTTTGAGCTCCGTTTCAGGCTCTGTGCTGGCAGTGCGGAGCCTGCTTGGGTTTCTCTCTCTGTAAACCCGCTCACGTGCTCTCTCTCGAAACATGAACTGTAAAAAAAATTGAAAAAGAAAAAGAAAAAGATGAGCCTTGTATTTGCTGTCCCAGGGCTCACCTCTCAAGAACTATGTAATCTCTGTATGTAATTTCTGTGTTAAGAAAATTTTCCTGTTCAAATACACACGAAAACTGGCCCAGCAGGCCCTCCTTCCTGGTCTGGCCTCAGGTCGCTCGCCATCATCTCTAACTACAGCTGACTTCTTGCAGATTCCGGAAAGTGCCGTGTTTGCGCCTCTCTCTGTGCCTTCGCACGTGCTGTTCTATCTGCCTGGAGTGGCTTTTGTGTCCTTGTCTGCTGGGTGACTCCTAAACATCCCTGAAGGAGCCCCTGTGGTGTCGCCTTCCCTGCCCCTGCTTAGCAGTGACGTCTCCTCTTCCTCCCTGGCGCTCAGGACTTTGCACGCCCATCCTTGTGTTGGCGTTATGGGATCCCCATAACACCCATCACCATCACCATAACACCCGAGTGGTGCCCCTCACCCAGGCCCTTACACACCACGGATGGCACCTCAGGGTAGGGGACTGGAATTCGTGTGTGAATCCCGATGCCTGGCCCAGTGCGTGGCCCAGTAAGCAAATGTCTGTTGAGTGAAGAAATGATTTGGTTCGTGTGACATACATACAGATTGCTCTGACCCCCAGCTTGCATGTGATGCAACTTGGCGGCCAGATGTGGGAAAGGAGAGGAGCTCTCTGTAGGCCAAGGTTTTGGTTTTTTTTTTTTCCCTTAAACCTGGCTTTAATTAAGTTCATACATTCAGAAGACAGAGAACTCTTACCAAATTAGCTCCCTGATGAATGGTTCTGATCGTGACATGCGGTTTTGTGAAGGGTGATTCTCACAATAATTAACAACCGGTACAGCACGGGCACACCCATCGGATCAGACTCAGGCAGTAGGGCTGGAGTACCTGCTCTGGTGCGGGTACCAACCCTGCGGTTACTGGATTCTGGAGAGGTCCCTAGGGGAGGGGCCAGGGCACCTGGGGTGGTTGGGGAGGACAAATCAGGGGTCGTTTTACGGCTGGTGTAGGAGTTGTTTGGCAGCCAGTGCTAGCTGTTGCACTGTGGATAGGCTCAGGGTCAGCCCTGGGCCAGGGGGCATCACTGACTGGACAGTGGGGGCTTTTTCTTACCTCCGACCCTTGGTGGACTGGCATTCTGCCGTTTCTCTTGGATGAGAATACCAGCATAGCGTCGAGGACCCCTTGGGCTGGGCCAGAAGCCTGGAGGCCAGGATTTTTCTCTTGGCCCTGTCACCACGTAGGTGATGCTGGGCATTTAGATGGACAGATCTTCACTGACCTGAATGCATCTCATCGAACTTTGCTATGTCGAATCCTGTTTTAGTCACGTAAACTGTGTCTAAGTGTCGAATGAAACGTTTATGGGTGTGTGGAACAGGCTGAGTGTTTTCCAGTTTAATCTCACTAGTTTGATCAGCTGTCCCACTTTTTTGGTTTCTTGGGCTGGGCGCTGTTTGTACTGCATAGAATCACAGGTGAAGCGTCATCATTTCATTTTCTGTTACATGTAGATGCTGGTGATGTTTAAATTACCACAATGCCTTAGTATTTTATTTTATTAAAAGATTTGTTTTAACGTTTATTAATTTTTGAGAGACAGCGAGACAGAGCGTGAGCAGGGGAGGGGCAGAGAGAGGGAGACACAGAATCCGCAGCAGGCTCCAGGCTCCGGGCTCCGAGCTGTCAGCACAGAGCTTGATGAGGGGCTCGAATCCATGAACCATGAGATCATAACCTGAGCTGAAGTCAGACGCTCGAGCGACTGAGCCACCCAGGCGCCCTTAAAATGCCTTAGTGTTTTCGCAAAGGCTTTAATTCTGTTCTGCAAGACTAATTGCTAATTGTGGGTAAGGAATTATAAATGATCATTTTGGAATTAGAAATTTCTAAAGTGTCAGTTCAGGTAGTCCCGACTGGGCGCAGCCTGCAGTTTCCTTCCCCCCGCCCCCCCCCCCCCCCCCCCCCCAACGAGAAAGGTAAGCTTTTTAGACCGTAGTTCGTTCTTTGTAGAAAACGTGGACTTCTCCTGTTGTGCCCTCGGCCACTTTGTGTTGATTTAGGGTTTATCCTCTGCCCATTTCTACAAAGAACTTGAGGCTATGATGAGGTCTCCATGGAGTCTGGGCAGTCTCTGTTGCCTCTGATCACTGTGTGATCCTGAGAATTAATGCTGGACGATCAGGGAATTGAAGAACAGAGAGTAAACCACACTGACCGTATTTAACTTGCCTCAGCCAAAGATTTATAGCTTGGCTGTTGACATGGTTGGGACAGCGCTGCTGAATTTCCTGAGTATCCAAACAAATGTCTTTGTTGCCGAGCTGTGACATAGCTACCAAAGTAGACACCATCCATCTAGCAGGCCACTAAATTGCCCTGCTTACCAAGAAGTGAGCCGTTAAGCTTTCTCTTTACATATCTGCTACCTCTTCAGGTTGTGGTCTGTGCGTGACCTGTGTTTCCTTCTAGTCGTTAAGGAAACTGTGCAGAGTAGGAAATGCCCAGGATTTGTGTTGGAACGCCCGTTCTTCTTGCTAGTTCCGTGACCTTGGGCAAGTCCCTTCATCTCTCTGAAACCCACCCTCCCGATCTGTGAATGGGGGAATTGCATGCTTACCTCCTGATAGAATTGGAAATAATGTAAGTGTATTACTTAAGGGTCTTCTGGTTGCAAGCTGTGAATCCAGCATTGAGTAGTGTGGTCAAAACAGTCACAGCGAAAGGGAGTATTTGTTGGGAGAGCTGAGTAGCCGTGTCTCGGGGAGGGTGAAACTGTGGCAGCCCCGTGGGCAGCAGAGGTCTCGAACCCTCGAGCTCTGTCCTTGACATGATGCGCACCCAGTGTCCCAGACTTCCGGTTTCTCAGTTGAAGTCTCTGAATCCGGAGAGAAAGTCGAACTGGTTCAGTGTGGGTCCAGGGGGCTGGCTCACTGACAGAGGGGGCTTCCAGGGTCTTGCCCCTGTGTTTTAGGGACAGTTTTCAGATGAGAGAGGGGAGGAGGGGTGAGCTGGGTGGTCATTCCAAGGGCTGTGGAGGAACGACTGCGGAGTCAGACACAGGTAGGTGTGTGGCTGTCATACTCTCCTTCGGGGTGAGAGACCTCCCGTCTGGGCTGTGTCTTGTTCCTCGTCTGGGGGGCAGGAGGGAGGGTGGGGGTGGCTGCTTGTCGCTCCCTTCTGGGCAGCCTGGCCCTCTGCCTCTACACTGAGGAGATCCACTGGTTTGTGAGCTCTGCTGAGGGAGCCAGATGACTTCATTCTAATGGGGCATGATTCAACACAGGGGAGTAGGTGAATGATGAAATGGGACCCAAATGGCTCTGAAGAGTTCATTTATTTAACATGGGTGAGCTATTTGCTTCTAGGAAGACGTTGACTCACTCTGACTTCCATTATGCAAAATACCCACAGGAATCTCTGCTCTTAAGATCCATATTGGTCCCTGTGTTCTCCGCTTACCCATTTCGTGCAGATTCCGGAAAGTGCCGTGTTTGCGCCTCTCTCTGTGCCTTCGCACGTGCTGTTCCATCTGCCTGGAGTGGCTTTTGTGTCCTTGTCTGCTGGGTGACTCCTAAACATCCCTGAAGGAGCCCCTGTGGTGTCGCCTTCCCTGCCCCTGCTTAGCAGTGACGTCTCCTCTTCCTCCCTGGCGCTCAGGACTTTGCACGCCCATCCTTGTGTTGGCGTTATGGGATCCCCATAACACCCATCACCATAACACCCGAGTGGTGCCCCTCACCCAGGCCCTTACACACCGTGGATGGCACCAGTCTGTGGCAGCATTTGGTCTGTGCCAGGTACTGTTCCTGGCTTGGGACATGGCTGCCCACAAGGGGCCATCGGACCTGTCGGCAGATGGTTGGTACGCTTGCCCCGGGGTGAAAGTGAACCAGTGCCGTGGGTGCTGGAAGAGGGCATTTTTCTCTGTCAAGCAAGGCTTCCTGGTGAGAATGTGGCCTAAGCAGACCCCGTAAGGTGCTTGGGAGTGTGTCAGTGGAGAGGGGTGAATGATGGTCTCTGCGGGGCGGGGGCGGGGTTTGTTCCTCTGGAGCCCGGACGGAGGGGTTCCTCCGTCTCACTGAGGAGGAAGAGCGGGGGGAAGGGAAGTGCAGGTGTGGGCAGCTGGCAGGTGGGGGTGGGGGGTTCGAAGAGCTGCCGGCGAGAAGGCCGTAGGGGAGCTGAGCCAGGCATCCGGGCCCTCGCCTTGCAGCGGGTGGTCCTCTGGGGCCCCGCCCACCACCCTCCGGTTAAGACACGGGGCCTGGGCGCACACACTCCACATCTGGAGCCCACTCCATCCGACAGAAGTCCGTATTTACCCGTTTCTTTTCCTAGCCCTTCTTGGCTGGCTTTGCAGTTACAAACGTAAGCACAGACTCTGACCGCCACTTGTCAGCTGGACGGCCTCAAACAAATGTTCCCTCTCAGACAGTCAGTTTCGTCATCTGAAAAATGGGAGGATTAACACGCTTCCCTGGTTTCCATCAGACACGATCCGTGTCCCAAGTGCCTAGCATAGCGCCAGAACGTGGGAACAGAAGTTATGGCTGACGTTATTGAGTGTTTATCTTGTACCGGTCATCACCCTGAGAACTTTGTAGAGATGAGCTCATTCGGTCTCCTTCACCACCCTGTGAGCGACGTAGAATCATTACCTTCCTTGAGAGGTGTGCATATTGAAGCACAGAGAGGTTGAGGAACTTGCTGAAGGTCACACAGTTAGTAAGGTCACACCCTGCTAACTATCCCTGCCCTTCATGGTAGGTGCTCAAGAAGCAGTAGGTTTGTTTTGACGTTTGTTTATTTTGAAGAGAGAGCGCGAGCGAGGGAGGTACAGAGAGGGAGGGGGCAGAGGATCCGAAGCGGGCTCTGTGCTGACAGCAGAGAGCCCAGCACAGGGCTCGAACTCACAAACTGTGAGAGCACGACCTGAGCCAGAGTCGGACGTTCAACCGACCGAGCCGCTCAGGCAAGAGGCAGTAGTTTTTTAAATTTTCTTCATCATTGTTGGCTGCCTTTCATGTGGTTGACAGTGACAGTGATTCCCTGCAAGCGCCCCAGTGCGTCGCATCCATTCTGGGGCATGGATGGCTGGACTGAAGAGCTCAGGCCTCAGGGCTTGGCTGCCTGGGTCTGCACCCTGCCTCTCCACCTGACCTTGGCTGCCGTCAGCCCTCTGTGCCGCAGCTCCCTCATCGCAGAAATGAGGAGGGTGGTGACACCTCAGCTCCCTGGGTCGTCGGGAGGCCTGAGAAAATGCCCGGGGAGCACTGAGCACAGTGGCTGACACTGTCTTGTTATCCTGTTCAGTTCTTCCCCGGGCTCTTCTCGGGGACCCTCTGTTGACGCACATGGTGTGTACAGGTGGGAGCCGAGAGAATCCCACGTGACACTGTTGCTGTGCACAAAAGGTATATGGGAGCTCCCTGTGCCAGGGACATGTGGCATGATTTACAAAAGGGCCCGACATTTCTAGCAGTCTGGGTACCTAACTTCTCATGACCGAGCTGGTGGTTTAGCATTTGGAACCCTTAATTAGCAGGTGGTGCCCTTGCCTTGTCTTGTTCAGGGCGAGGGGCCTGGTAGTGTTCTCGCGGGTCAGGGGCCCCTAACCTTTCCTTGCCCTCTGCATCCCTGCGGCCGGCAGTCTGCGGAAGCCAGGGATCTCTTCCCTGGAAAGGTCTTCCAATGCATAAAATATATGCACAGGATTATAAAGGAAGCCAATTACTTTGAAATTCAGTCATCAGACTATTGAAAAAAATCTGCTTTGGAAATGGTGCTTCTTTATTAACGCATTAAATGACGGGGTCTCATGATGAGTATAGTGACTGCTGTAGTTCTGAAGTGGTGGTAAAATGAATATTTTAAGATAACTTGAGATGCCTGTAACACATACAGGGTCCCTGCGTTTCTTTGGGATGACACTGTCACAGGAAAACACCAACACCGCTGTGGTGCAGTAACCGTGCTCCTTCGGGTCCAGTCAGGTTTCCACCTGTGTCCCAGGCGGTATCTTAACTTTAGGAGAAGGCATAGGCCAGTGGGAAGTACAAGGGCTGCTTGCTGTTCTAGTCTCCCCACGACCTGAGCGCCTCCCTCGAGCATTTAGGGAGCATCTCGTCCACGCAGGACGCTGCCCCAGTCTGCACATGTTAACTTTATTTAGCGTTCTTCCCTTGTCTTGGAATAATTTCAAATTTATAGGCAGGTTTCGAGAATAAAGGATTTTACCTTTCCTGAGGCCTCTGAGAGCAAGTGGCCCACGAGAAGCCCTGTCCCCTCTGAGTCCCCTAGCGTGTATTTCCCGTAAGCGGGGACACTGACCTGTGTGCCATGGTGCAGCCGTCAAGGGCAGGGACTAGGCTGACTACCCCCCCCGCCTTCTAATCCTCAGACTCACGGGTGCTTCACTGCTCGTCCCGTAAAGCCCTTTGTGGCCAGAGGATCTGATTCGGGATCGCACGTTGCTTTGTTGTGATTCTTTAGTCTTCGGTCTGGGGCAGTTTCTTGGTCTTACCCTTGCCTTTCATGCCCTTCATAATTTTGAAGTGTCCAGGCCAGTCATATGTAGAATGTCCTTCAGGTTGGGTTTGTCTGACGTTGCTGGGTTGATTGGGTTCAGGCAGGTGTATTTGGTGGGAATATCCTCTCATCGCAGCCTGTTGGTCCCCAATTTAGATTTGTCTCATTACCGGCCACGCTGACTTCGACGGCTTTATGTAGGTGTCTTCACCATGTGGGTACTCTTTTTCCTTTGTAATTGGTAAGCATTTTGAGGTGTTTTGAGCCTATGTAAATACCCTGATGTTCTTCAAACTTTCACCCATTGGTGTTAGCTGGCTACCTCAGGTCACATAAGTAGGTTCCAGAGATCCCCCTTAGGTCCCTTTGTCATCACTCTGTTCCGGATGCCTTTAGAAGCGGCTCACTTGGCCTTTTCTGTTTTAATGTAAGTCCCTTGTCCCTTTTGGTTGATGAACTTCTATTCTCCGGAGCAAGAGCAACGTGGAGAGGCGTTCTCTGTGGTGTTGCGAAACCGATGACCAGCCGCTTGGAGGGGAGGCAGTTTCACGACTGGTGGATCGGGTGCCAGCGATGATCCTTTTATAGCAGCCATGCAGTGTTGGAAGCACAGCACTCGGCTTTGTTCCGAGGGACGTGGCGGGCAGTCATTCCCCACTCCTCCTGCAGGTGGTGCTCTGCGACCGTGGCCTGCCCGACAGCCTGGCACCCGGGATCACCTCCGTTTGGATTTAGAAACTACCCACATATGTTTGCATAACGTCAGGATGGACTCTTTTACAGTTCTCCCCTTAATGTCAGATGCCCGTTGTCATTTCCAGGAAAAGCAACAATTAGACTATGAAGAGCTGATTCAAGTCTTAAAGAAGGAGCAGGACATCTATACTCACCTGGTAAAATCTCTGCAGAACCCAGACAGGTAAGGTTACTGTTTGGACCTCACACTCCTACGTAGACACACGTATTCCGAATAAATACGGTTGGCGTCTGAGGCAGCAAAGCCGTCCTGGTTTGGTCAGGAAGCTTAGATGATGCTTGGATGATGGTTGCCTGGCTTAAATCGGGTAAACCTATTTTATATCAAGAAGCGTCTGACTTTGGGGTTGATTTCTTTCATTCTAATGAACTCAGGATAAAAATAACATAACAATAATTTCTCAGTAATCTATAGTGCCTTCTTAATAGATACAGAAATACTCCCATGTGTGTTACCTCGTAACGATTGTTACCCTATTTCCCATAAGGCCACGAAGACTGAGGGAGGTCGAGTGTCTTTTCCAAAGTTACACAGGTGGTGAGTGACCGAACCCAGGGGCTCATACAAGGTTCTGGAGTGACTTGTGTCTTTATAGAACTGCTGAAATGATTTGGTGCCCGTGAGGTGTGGTGACGAGAGCCCCCTGCGGGCGAGTGCTCTTGTTCTGTCCCGGCTCTGTGTCCGCGGGCAGGTGGCCCAGTCTGTCCGGGGCCTCTGTTCGCCAGTGCAGGATTGGCCTCGGTGATTTTTCACCTCACAAAGAACTCTCTCTACACAGTAGGGGTAGTTACGGGTGAGAGGATACGGTTCATTTCAAAACTATACAGAAGTGAGGGAGGTGGGTTGGGGACACTGAGGGAGCGAGAGCGACCATGGCTGCCGGGTGGTCAGGGCTGGGCTGTGAGTAGATGGGCAGGGGCTCATTGTATTAGCTTTCTTCATTTGTGTCTGTTTAAAAGTCTCCATAATAAAAAGTTAAGGTGTTTGTCCCCTTACTGCTCCTTCTAAGACTTTCACTCTGGCTGGAATGGTCTTCCATTCCTTCCTTCACCAGGGCCTGGGCCGTGTGCCCTCCTGCTTCTGCCTTCGCACCGTTTCCACAGCCTGCCTTTGTCTCCCAGAGGTCCTTGAGGATTCATCTGGAGGGCTACCCTCGTGAGGAGGCTGTCCCCAGGATGGTTGTCGTCGTGAGTTTTCTGCCCTCGCAGCTGCCTTTGCCACCCTCTGGGCACGTGTCTGTAACTGGCCTGTCTCCTCATGGGGACCCTGCGCCCCCTCCGGGTGGGATGCTGTGTCGCTCAGCTCCATTTCCCCCGTGCCTGTCACCGCGGCTGGGGCGGAGTAGCCACGCAGGAAGCGTGAGTGGACGGGCCCCCCACCCCCCGCCTGGTCTTCTGAGAGATGACATAATTTTCAGATTTGTTGATCTGAAATGAATTTAGAGAAAATGGAAACATGCCGATGAGATTCTGGGAGTAGGCGTCACTCTGTAAAAGTGGGCCTTTTCCAGAAGCCTCAGCAGCTCGGAGTTTCTACAGGGGGCGGGGCCGGTGAAGCTGGGAAACTCGGGGGCAGCGGGCCAAGTCGGGTTACCTGGGCAGCTTCTCTGGGTCCTGGGCCGCGTGGGGTGCTTGGCACTATCTCAGCTTTTACTGCTCCCTTCCAGAAGCACCTTCCCCTGCCCCGGCATGATGGCCTGTTAACAGTGTCTCCAGATAGTGCCACATATCTCTTGGGAGGTTAATTGTCCCCAGATGGGAATCACTGCTGTAACTCCCGAGAATCAGAAAGTTTGGCTTATAAATACCCTCTTTTCGTTCGGGAGTTGCTCCGATGTACGGAAAGAGGGAAACGCCTGTCGAGTTGTCTCGTGTGTGTTGGGCCCTGTGCTGAGCTCTTTCCCGTGCAGCTCTCGTTTCGCCCTCAGAACAGTCCCGAAGGAAAGGTATCAGCCCCATTTCACAGATGAGGAAGGCAGGGCTCCGGCAGTTTGACCGACCTGCCCGAGGTTCGGAGCGGTGGTGCCGTCGGGAGCTTGGCTCCGGCTCCTCGTTTCTGCCTCCCCCTGCCTCCATGTTGCAGAAGGAGGAATGCGCAGGGCTTTTGTTTCTTTCCAGGCGAAGCACCTTTTGTTCCACCAACTCCTCACACCTGGAAAAGGCCCTGGAGTTAGGGGAACATAAATGACAGGCACAGGAGCAACAGCGGTGTACTTTTCACCCTGTCAGGAGACGGAGCGGGGAGTGCAGCCGGTCGCGTTCCTCCGCCCTCATCGCAAGAGCCGCGTGGAAACACGCTCCTTTTTTTTCCTCCTGCTGAAATGTCTCTGCAGCATGGCTGCATCCGAGCGAGTGCTGTGACACCTCCGTGAGGTTTTCCATCAGCCTTACAAATTGATCATTATGATTGTCTTGAAATGGAACTAGGCACAGGTTGCTGGTAGGGCCCCTTCCCTTGCAAGGGGGCTGCTTCACAATGAACCATCGTCAAAGCAGCGAGCATGGACGATTAGACATAACGGTTTATTTTCCTTCCGATGTATGTTGATTTATGTGCGCGGTTCGAGGGGTGGAGCTGGAAGAAATCTCTGAAGGAGAGTGGGGCTTGAGTCTCAAGCCCACACGTTTGGAGCAGTTGCTGCTAATTCTAACCCTTTGGGGGCTCTGGATCCCTTTTGAAAAATCTGATGAAAGCTCATGGGCCCTCTCTTTAGAAAAATCCACATGTTCTTAAGTATTCGCATGCGGTTTCAAGGTGTTGATGGACCCTCTTAAGGAACCAAAGGTCAGACGCTGGACAGAGAGTGATGTATTTCTCAGTATTTAAAAGAGGAGGCTTTCTGATGTGTTAAGGTGTTTTGCTAGTCTCGAAAAATGTTCATGTATTTTGTTTTAAGTTTATCTGTTTATTTTGATAGAGAATGTGTGAGTGAACGGGGGAGGGACAGAGGAGAGGGAGAGAATCCCAAGCAGGCTGCGCACTGGCAGTGTGGCTTGGAAATGTGGTGCCCCAAAATATGTTCACGTACTTTGACCCAGCAGTTGCACTGCTGGGAATTGGTCTTAAGAAACGAACCTGAATGTGAAAAGGCTTTAGGCACGGAGGTGTTCAGTGAAACATCGCTTATGTTATTCAGACGTTGGCCGGGGTCTCTGTTCCTCTGAGAGCTGGGGGCACTCAGTTAGATCCCTGCCAGGTGCCACGTCAGTAGGAATCCAGAGCCCATCTGGTGGGTCTGTACTGTCCCAAGTCAGTGGCCACGAGCCATGGGACTATTTACATCTGAATTAAGAAAAATGCGGCATTCCGTTCCCCAGAATGTTAGCCACATTTCAACTGCTCAGTAGGCTTACATTTAGCCCGTGGCTACCATATTAGTGCATAGACAGAACACTTCTAACTTCCAGAAGTTCTGTTGGACAGCAGATTCCTGCAGATTCTGGGAGGTGTGCATTTTCATGGCCTCTTGTGAATTCTGGGCTGCTGGTGTCATGCAGGCTCTCTGTGCAGGTCACACTGTGTCACACAGACCCAGATGTGAGACTTGACACGCGTTCACTCCACTATGCTTCTGTGAATGGGGCTGACCTATCACAATGGAGTTCTGTTGGTCCCTAAATTGGTCCTTCTCTTCCTCCCATTATCAACTCCCTTTCTTTGTCTTTCTTTCTTCCTTCCTTCCTTCCTTCCTTCCTTCCTTCCTTCCTTCCTTCCTTCCTTCCTTCC